GTGCGGGAAAGTCCGGGAAAAGCCGCACAAAAACCGAAGGAAACTCAGTCATTGAGAAAGCCAGAAACGACGAGTACATTGTAATTAATGATGAGGCATAAAGCGCATAATCGAGAAGCTGAGACCCTCGAACAGAAACAGATGGAAATTCCATGTGAATACTTAAACGGCACATTGAGGGAAGGCCCAGGAAGTGACTTTAAGCCTTGTAAGAAACCCAAACCACTTGAGGCGGGACAAACCTCAAACCTCTCTCAAAAACACCTTCTACTTAAGTCAATGGCCGAGTGAGTTCTCAGCATTTTCCGTCTTCCATTTAATTGAAAATCTATGTTCGCACATAGTTTACGGCCAAACAAAGCCGATTACATTAATTCCACACACCATCACAAACCGAGTGGCAAGGTCAGGACTTAGGAACAGCCAGACTTCAGTATACTGAACTTTTTAAATTAAACTTGGGAGGATCAATTGCTCAATGCTTTTGGGAAAAATAAATTGATTTAAATTTCAAAAAAAATGCTAAGCAGCTTTAGTTAGTTTTTTATAACATTTACTATTAATGAGTAAGTCCAGGTCAATTAAAAACTTTGCCTGAAATTTTAGATTGCCAGCTTGGCAAGTGCAAATTAGGGAAGTTTGACTGTAGAGTGAGGAAAAGGGTTCGGATTCTACACAGACAAAGTGGCCAGGAAACTTGTTGAGAGTGAATCGGAAAACTCGCACACACTGCTAGATACTCGAAAAGCCACTCAGTCAGGTGTTAAAACTAATTTACGACAATTTGACCAACAAACAACAAAAGTTGCCTCCGGGCTGAGCTCTCTCTGCTCTGAGTGCTCCGCATATTTCACACGATGCATGAAAAGGGTTCGTCCTCAAAAGGAGGAAAGCGGAAAAGTGGAGATTTCCCCGGCCCTCCACCCACTTTCCACACTGACCACAAAAGCATCGAAATCGAAGGGAAGCCATGTCCGACAAGCACTCAAGAACAACTCGGGCCCAAGTCCAACCACAACTTGATCCCAATTTGGCTGTGAGTTTTGCTCACCGCTGACAATTTCCTTCGTCCTCCTTACCCGCAACAGACAGCATTTCTTTTTTTAGCTTCGATTTTTTGCCAAGGGAAAATGGCTTTTCCTAAGGAAATTAATCAGGCACCCACCCACCAAAGGAATAACAAACCGAAATGCAACTCATTCAGCTCAATGCTGCGGAGTCATTGTTTGATAATTAGCATGTAATTAAAGCGAAAACGCCCCTTGGGTGGGAAAAACAGGGGGAGTTTGCTAATGATGATGGAGTAACAGTCGCCTAATGCATATAAATACGGAAAATATTTATCAGTGTTTGTGAAATACATTAAAGGACACCTTCAGCTTTAGTTGATTAAAATTTAAATCTATTTAAGAATGCATTACTTAGCAAAATATATATTTTAGAAAATGTTGCATACTTTTAGACACCGCTGTATGAGATTTCAAGCCCCCAATGACTTTTGTGGTACATTTAATTGTTACTATCTTCTTCCACTTCTTTATAAATCAACTTAAGAATATTTAAATTGGGTAATATTGTAATTTAATATTGGAAATATTTTAGAAAATAATTTGAGACTCCGTTAGCAAGTGATACTATATCTCTAGTTATTTTTGACTATAAGAATCTTAGTCAATATAATAAAAAAGGTCTCCAAAATGTATAACTCACTTGTAGTTTTATTTAATTTCAGCCTTAGTCGTAGAAAAACTGAATAAAACTAATAGTACAATGGAACTCTTTAATTACCATCTGAGGTGGAACTCTAATCTCCAGTCAGTGATTAACTAAAGAAATCTATCCAGACGCCTAACCCCCTGTCCATTCATATACCTGCTCTAATGAATTAGCAAACCCAATTCAAACAGGGCACAGAGAAAGAAAAAACGCAGGGAAATATGCCGGGGAAAGGAGTGTGGAGGAAGCCAAGGTAAATGGAAAGTCATTATGATACACATTTGGCCTAATGAGATTTTTTATGATGATGCCAAAGGTGGCGGGGCAGGTGAGGGATGGCCACACGCAAACGTCTTCCTAATTATTCACAATGAACGAATATGCCACCGGAATGGTGAGGGGAAAAACGGAGAACATTTTGACACCTTTATGGCTCAATAAATTGGACCAAAGGCAAAGAACTCCTAGCACGCCAGTTCATTAGAAACTCACACGGGGATTTTGATATCGCCTCTGATTACGTTTAAGATGACGAGGCCACTCGTAACTCACTCCCTTGACATTGTGCACAAAAAAAAATGATTATATTCTAATCATTAAATTCGACCATAACTATTACAATGATATTATAATGAGTTTGGTTTCCAAAAAGAGTGTATAAAAAATTAAGAAATGTTTTTACCAACACCCAAGTTTCCAATGGTATTTCAAGAATATATAGTTTTCAAATTAACATTAAGTTAAAGGTTTCAGTATTTTTTCTTAGTGTATGCAAACTGGAAATGTGGGCACCTAAAGTTTACAGTTACCGAAGCACTGGACTCGTTAGTGTTGGGGAAGTGTGTGTTATGGTATAAGCAACGACCAGACGGAGGACCTCCCAAATTGGGTGGTATGCCACTTGGGGGGTTCCTGGCAAGCCGGCATCCTTAGACCCACCGATACCGACTGCTTATGAATAATGTTTTTATTTTCAGCCCGGCGAATTTGCCTTCGTCCTCAGCACGCAATTGCATGTGAAGTGCATATGATTCCCGCACCGCTTCCACTCGGCAAAAGTCCTCGGCCCCCAGTCAGCCACGACTAATATGCGAAAATTATGGGTTGTAATATAAGAGGCACTTTTGCTACATTTTTTTAATGACATCAAACAAACGCTACATGTTCTTGGGAGAGGGTCCCTGGCCAAGTGATTAGCGCCGCTGGTTCAAGTCAAACATTGGAAACTGTCGTCATTTATATTAATTAATGGCGTCTGCACTTGAGTACCAGGGAGTAAAACTTTCGAGATGACTTCTGAAACTTTGCACTAATAAGGAAAATTCTAAGGCAGTTTTTCAAATTATGAAAAGGAGATTAGAAACATTTAGTGAAAACGTATTTTAGTTTTGAAATGTGCCCAATTAAGCTCGGATGTATCTATTGTACAAATATATCTTAGAATTAATGTAATTAATATTTTGTACATTTATGAAGCAAAGAAAATATATATAGCTTTCAATGTTTGTGCTCTTCAAAGTATTGTTTTTTCGATTTGTTTAAATACACAATTTTTTAAGTGTGCTTAGTTAGGCTCTGCCATATCGTATAGCCCATATAATCGCATTATGTACAATGCCTAATCAACTCTGGTATCCGTTCGCATTAAACTGCCGCAGAATGGAAAATGAATTTTCCTGTGGCATGCAAGCCCCAAAGTATGCAACAGTTTCTGGCCGAGTGCGGCATCGGATTTTCATACAATCAGAAACCATTTTGAACGCATCCGCTTCCGTTTTTGCATGGCGGTTTGCATTTTTGAGTTAAAATCGTGAGCTTTTTTGCAATTTGATTTGTCGCCTAAATTCACAACATTTTTGACACCCGTCGGTCGCAAAATTCCGCGGCAGCATACGATTTTTTTTTAGTTTTCAAACATGGTATTTGACAGGATGACAAATGCAAAACTATAAAAATTCATTCCCTTCTCGACCATGACAAATTTAAATGGAAGAGCGAAGTAGCTTGGTGTATGGTGCATTTTAAAGTGCATTTTTTGTAAGCGGAACTTGCATTTTGGATGTGATACAGCTATGTAGTATCCCAGGAACCGCTAACAAAACTCTCGAGACATTCGACGGCATCAGCCACAGATGACAACCCGAGGGTCCTCCGCTGTTTAATATGCACTTGAGAACGTCGAAGTTTCAGTTTCAACTGCAGTTGCACTCGAAAAAGAAAACGCATAATTGAAAAAGCGATGAACACTAAAGAATTTATTGAGCTTTGATACCACATTTGTGAAGTGTTCATAAAAAAAAATCGATAAAAAAAGAATACGAAGAAGACAATTGCGAATGTACGCTCAAAACAGTGATTTGTCTTAAATTTTAGAAATGTTTATTTTAAGATTTTCTTTAGTTTTATATGAAATGCTTTAATCTAGTAAATTTACTTTATTTAAAAATCAACTTTTAAAAATTCAGGCGAATACTTTTTTGAGTGTATGTACGGCATTTACGGGCTTATACCTAGACCTCCTTTCTTCGCACACTGTTCCGAACCTTTCACTAAAAATAAGTGTTGAGCAAACATTCTGCGGGCATGGCAGTGCGCCTCTGCCACATCAGCATCATCTCCACCATCACCATCTTTGTCCTCTCGAAACAGGGCCATGTTTGTCAAGCCATGAGCTGCGGAATTTCACTGCAAACAAGAATGCAGTGCAAGATGCTTAACACTTTGCCCAGATCCCTGCCCAGTGGGTAGGTCACGGGGTTGCGTGTTTACTGAGATAAGGAGTGACAAAAAAAGATTGCGAATATATTACTCTATTGGTGGGTCTGCAAAAAATAAGGGTAATTCTAAGTAATCTATAAATTCCAGCACAATTCTCTTGAGTTAATTATTATTATTCATTTAGAAGAGGTCAATTCGTTCGCTTAAGGTCGAAGAGTAAAATATACTTTATCACATATGATCTGAGTACTTGTAATTATAATTGTTTATGAGATCGAAGTGATTACATATGGTTTACGTTCTAGTAGAAAAGATAGGTCTTTAAACCATCTATTAAAGAAATTGCTCGAAACCATAATTTTAGTTAATAGGTTTTCCGATGTATCAGAGTCCCTTGAAATACTCTGTATGGACATTACAACACCATGTAGTATCATTATAATGTACCCTCTTAGCTGCCCACTCAGTAAATTAATCGATTGCAGATTGAATGATTCTTGTCAACGCTTCGGCTAATGCATCAAGGAAAATGAGGTAATTTAAAAAAGTAAACTTAGTGTTCCACGATGGTTGACTTGGTCAAATGGTGTCTGTACGTCTCGTACTATTACGGACGTTATACCGGGGTGATCAACTTTGAGATTGACTTGAAAACGGGTAGAACCCGTATCACCAAATGGGCCACCATTTATGCAGCAAGTGCCCAAATATTTTTCTTCACCTTATGGATTCATCACACATATACAACGAGGTCTTTGACAACTATGTGGGCGAAGACCAATTTGCTTCATAGGAGCGTGTTTATGACTATGGCTGTGTTTCGGATCCTATGTGCATTACTGGCCTTGATTAGTCGGTGGTTTATGCGTCAGAGGTTTATACGATTGTACAACTCGTTTCGTCGTTTATTTCGCAATAATCCGGAGGTTATACAATACTGTCGTAGAGGAATCATTACTAAATGCCTCTGCGCCACAGCTACGGAAACCATGCAGCTAGCAATGGGACTAATACTGTCGCGAAAATACCTTACCATCATTATGGCTCTGGGGGTCTGGTCAATCATAACCTTAACAGCCATTATAAATGTGATCATAACCCAGTATTATATTGCAATTGCCCATATACGTGGGCTCTATATGCTCCTGAATAAGGAACTAGAGGCCATTTTAACCGAAGCTAAGTCACTAATTCCCAACCGACGTGGGGTCTTTATGACCAAATGTTGCTGTCTAGCCGACCGTTTGGATAAGATCGCTCAAACACAATCTGAGCTTCAGGATCTAACAGATCGCCTTTCGAACACCTATGAGCTACAGCTTCTCTGCATGGCCGTTACCTACTATTTGAACGCAGTGGGAAGCTTCTACATGATGTTTAGTGTTGGAAAGTATAAAAACTTGATCGAGGACTGGCCTCCAATCGTAATACTCTTAGGAGCTCTATATTTTTTGTTTTTCTTCCTCGATAACTGGGTAACTATGAACAATTCTTTTCATCTGTTGGACGTCCATGCTGAATTGGTAAAGCTGATGGAACAGCGAACTTTATTTTCCCCAGGCTTGGACAATCGTTTGGAGAAAACCGTAAGTGCTTTCATCTGATCTTTGTGAATTACTTCCTAAACTTTCCTTATTGATTGGCAGTTTGAAAGTTTCGAACTCAACCTGGCGCGCAGTCCATTTAAGCTTCGGTATTTCGGATTTTTTGAGGCTGACCGATCCACTTGTTTTTCTTGGTGTAACTCTATGATAACCAACTCTATATTCCTAATTCAGTATGATATACAGAATTTCTGAATAAAATTTATACATTGAGTAAAGCATCTTTATGTTCCAATAAAAGGTTTTCCTAAGAAAAGAGAGGTCTTGAAAATTATCGATTGAAGTATTTACTTAATACTAAAACCCAAACCTTAGACATTAAGAAATTCTAAAAGGTACTTCGATATTACATAGTCTCTGTGGGACTTTAAAATAATACAATACCCTGTATTTGGTGTTCCACAATGGGTGACTTGTTCAAATGGTGTCTGTATATCTCGCGGGTCATTAGATTAACTGATATCATTCAATGATATTACTGATAAATCGAAATTATCTTTGTTATATATCAGCACATTAGGGTCAGCTATATCAGAAACCCAGAATATCTTTTAGGCTACCATCGCTGCGGTTCAGTATTTCGCAATGGTTAACCTGGTAAAACACTGTCTGTTCATATCATATTATTTGGGACGTTTCTCTGGAGTGCTGAACTTTGAAATCGATTTGAAAACAGGACGAAGTCGGGTCACCAAACGAGCTACAATGTTTGCAGCCATTTCCCACCTACTTCTAATTTTCCTTATGTGGTTTCTGAAAAATAGAACCCGATTTGTAACTCAAGAATTGTTTAAAGCAAACTCTCTTCAGGAAATTGTGTTGAATATTATAGCGTACGTTCGAATGGTTGGTGTTTTGATATCGTTGGCTTGTCGATGGCTTGAACGACCGACATATATGAAACTATTTAACTCGATCAACCGTCTCTATACAAAAAATCCGGAAATAATTCGATACTGCCGTAGAAGCATCGTAAGCAAGTGCTTTTGTGCAATAATGTCCGAATTACTGCAGGTTATAGTAATCTTAGTACTAACTGCAAATCGACTAAGTTTTGGCCGTGCATTAAGCATTTGGTGCGTTTTATGCTTGACGTCTACAATCAATGTTATTATTAGCCAGTATTTTGCAGCCATAGCAATACTACGGGGAAGCTATACCCTGTTGAATAAGAAGCTCCGATCGATTTTATCCGAAATTCAATCTCTAATACCCAACAAACGAGGAGTCTTTATGACCAAATGTTGTCAACTGGCTGATATATTGGATGAAATGGCTCGAACCCAATCACATTTACAAAAGCTCACTGAATGTTTATCCAGGACCTATCGAGTCCAGATTATCTGCATGGTCATCACTTACCATCTAAACTTCGCGGGAATTTTTTACTTCATGTTCACTATAAAAAAATATAAATTGATGACAGCGACCTGGCCAGGAATTATTATAGTTGGTTCCACAATACACTTAATATTTCATTGTATGGACTGCTGGCTCAACTTGTTTAATATTTTTTACCTCATTGACAGGCATTATGAGATGGTTAAAATATTGAATCAACGGACCCTCTTTCAACCGGGTTTGGATAAAAGATTGGAGGCAGTTGTGAGTAGTTTAAACTATTCTGCATAAAACATTAAAATAATAACTATATATTTTTAGCTGGAGAGCTTTGTCCTGAACCTTGCCCGAAATCCATTAAAGCTTTCTGTCTTTGGATTATTTAAAATCGATCGTATGGCAGCATTTGCTTTGGCGAACTCATTATTAACACACTCAATTTTATTGATACAATGTGATGAAGGGCGTTATTTTAACTAGAGGTTTTCAAGGTCATAAGCTGTCCCCACTTGCAGCTTTGGTAAAAAACTTAAGAATGAGAGTGTTATAACTGAAAGCATATATAGGGAATATTTCCCAAGGTGCACGACAACCTCTATATCGAATTTGTTTCTAAAGTTATGTTAATCTGCACTAAAGGCCACATAAAATCATTTCAAACAAATGTGTCTGTTTGTAAAATCGTGCAAAGTTAGGAATACAGTCCCAACAAAATTGTTTCACTATTTAAGAAATTGGTAATTAATTGATAATTAACTCCCTGCAAGTATTACCTTCTGATTTACATCAAACCTTTATTAATATATATTACCTCAAATGAAGAGAAAGGCGGCCGCTGTCACTGTTTAGAGGACCCATCGATTTAATACAGTTATTACATTAGCTGAATCGTGATGAAACGATAACGCCCGGTACCCCAACTAATTATCCCCACACATTAGAACATTACACTAGAATAAAAAAAAGTTAAAAATGAACATATTTCACTTTGTAAATTTTAATTTTAAAAATTTACAGATTTTGAACTTAGTTTTTAATAAAAAAAACTAAAAACATAACTTCATATCTTTCATGTTAAATGAAGCCAGGCAATATGTTTTACATTTTATATTACCTTTTGTATTTAAATAAAATATATTATTCAAAACATCATAATCAATATGCATTGAATATTACTTTAATTTTGTTTTAACATTCCAGTTTTCTCAGTGTAAAAACACCGAAACTTGGTAATCATATGCGACTTATTTTGAATAAAGTTTCAGTATATGCATCAGTATACCGCAATGCTTGTCCTAGTGAAATGGTGCTTGAAAAGCTGCTACTGGAATGGACGTTTTTCCGGTGTACTAAACTTCGAGGCCGATTTTAAGACGGGTCAAATGGTAGCCACCAAGAGATCTACAATATTTTCAGCCTTTTCTCATCTACTAATGTTCACATTACTGATTTACCACACATTAAGAACGCACACTGTGACCACCATGTGGAAATATGCAAATTCCCTTCACGAATACGTGTTCATGGTCATAGCGGGCTTTCGATTGATTTGTGTTTTCCTGGCTTTAGTCAGCCGTTGGACTCAACGTCGGACATTTATGCGAATGTTAAAATCGTTTTGGATACTCTATAAGAAAAATCCAGAGATAATACAGTGTTGCCAAAGGAGCATCCTTAGCAAATTCTGTTGCGTGACCATGGCGGAGATTTTTCAAGTTATAGTCACCTTTGTTCTGATACGAAATAAGATAAACTTTGCCACTGGTCTTCGCCTTTGGGCAGTATTGAGCTTGACGGCCGTAATAAATGTGATCATCATGCAGTATTTTATAGCCATGGCGAGTATTCGAGGTCGCTATATCCTTCTGAATAGGGATCTGCGTATGATTGTTGCCGAAACCCGATCGCTGAATCCCAACCGAAGTGGAGTTTTTGTGACCAGATGTTGCTGCCTAGCCGATCGACTGGAAGAAATCGCCATCAGTCAATCGGGCTTACAAAAGCTTATCGAGCAGTTATCGGAAGCATATCAGGGCCAGGTCGTCTGCTTGGTAATCGGTTACTACCTGAATATGGTGGCAAGTGGTTACATATTATTCAGTATCACCAAATACAAGGGTCTATCGGATAATTCGCCATTGATCGTCACAATTTGCAGCATTGCCTACTTTGTTTTTTACTATCTCGATTGTTGCCTCAATTCGCTTAACATATTTTATCTCTTGGATGAACACGATAAAATGGTCAGATTACTGGATCAGCGGACACTTTTTCAGCCAGGCCTGGATCACAGATTGGAAACCGTTGTAAGTGCTTGGTTATCATATTATTGTTATTAAATCATAATAAAGCTTCACATGTATTTGCAGTTCGAAAGTTTTGTTCTCAACCTGTCAAGAAATCCACTAAAATTAAGTTTTTTTGGCTTATTCCAAATCGATCGTGTTTCATCGTTTGCTCTGGGCAACTCCATATTAACGCATTCCTTACTTTTGATCCAATATGATGTAGAACATTTCTAAAAAATATACGTGTAAATTTAAGCGTCGAAAATAAAAATGTATAACATGATGCTGATAACGACTACATATATATGGTAGCCCCTACATGAAAACCAAAACTAATTTCGGCAAGCAAAAGTTGTATTATCCTTGAAACCCTCTGAAGCAGTTACACTATAGTAAACATATGTATGTACATACCAACAAAAAATACATTATATGGTCGGAGTTGTCGCCTACCCAACAAGTGCTATGAAAAACAATCCAATTTCAACCGTTTGCAACTAACCAATCCTGAATCCGCCATTGCTTTATCATCACATGGTCAATAAATAAGCTGATTACAACTCTACAGGCCATCAGTCACATATGTCAAGACCCTGGCTTACCAACTGGAAACTGTCCCAAAGCAATGTCCAGTATATCACAATGGTTGACTTGGTAAAATGGTGTCTGTTCATAACGTATTTTACCGGTCGCCTTTCAGGCGTTTTAAACTTCGAGGTCGATTTTAAAACGGGTCAAATAAAAGTTACTAAAAGAGCTACAGTATGTGCAGCTTGCTCGCACTTTGCAATAATCTTCTTGCTGAGTCACTTTCTGATTAACGCACAGGCAGTGGTCAAAATATGGAATATCCCGAACTCTCTTCAGGAATACGTGGTCATGGTTTTGGCAGGGCTTCGCCTAGTTTCCGTTTTCCTAGCTTTAGTCAGTCGATGGTCCAAACGTCGAACATTTATGCAGCTGTCCAACTCGATCCGTCGGCAGTTCAGTCCGAAAATAACCCCATACATCCAGAGCATCGTTATAAGCAAGTTTTGCTCTGGCGTAATGGCTGAGGCCATACAAGTCATCATATCTCTGTATACGATGCACAATCAGCAAAATATTTCTGTAACTCTTGGCATATGGGGCTATTTCTGCCTGTCACCCCTACTAAATGTGATCATAATGCAGTATTTCATTGCCATATCAATCATTCGAGGACGCTACAACCTTCTGAATGAGGAGTTACAGGCGATTGTAGCCGAAGCACAATCCCTAAATTCTAAAAAAACGAAAGTGTTTGTAAAAACTTGTTGCCGTCTTGCCGATCGTTTGGAAAAAATAGCTCATTCTCAGTTTGAGTTACAAGCTTTCACCGAAAGATTGTCAAGAACCTATCAAGTGCAGGTTGTCTGCTTGATCATCACATATTATTCAAACTTGGTTGGGAGCTCATATTTTACGTTCAGCAATTTTAAAAGCGAAGGTCTACCAGAGAGTTTCCACATTTTCGTCATAGTTATTTACACTGTTCTTAACGTTTCTTACCTTGTGGATTACTGGATAAACGCATTCAATATATTTGGCCTGCTGAATGCCCATGAAGAGATGGCCCAACTGCTAAGTGAACACACTTCTTTTCAGAGAGGTTTGGATAAGAGATTACAGGCAGTTGTGAGTGTAAACAAAATGGTATTTCATTTTTATGCTTACAAACAATTTTGCAGATCGAAAGCTTCACCTTAAACATGGCTCGAAATCCACTAAAGTTTCGATTCCTTGGACTTTTTGAAATTGATCGATTTGCAGCGTTTGCCATGCTCAACTCCCTTTTAAGCCACATAATTGTGTTAATCCAATACGATATGGAAAATATTTAAAATTCGATATACATAAGATTATATTGTTATTGGACTGTTTTGCATTAACTAAATATTTGCTTATTTGAGCTATAATATATATATAAATGTATTTTAAAATCGATACGGAAATGTAAACTCCACTATTTTCTTATAATCCCACAAACTACTTTTAATTAAATTAGTTTAAAATCAAGATTTGAAGCAGTATGAAGGATGTCATGTTTTGACGAATTTGGCTCATTACAATGCCAATATTTCAGGTGATTCCAGATGAACAGATATCATACCTAAAATAAAATAGTCGGTCAGACACTTCGTAACCTCAGAGTCAGCGAATTTCCATTTCACAATGGTTAGCCTAGTCAAATGGAGCTTGTTCTCTATATATTTTACCAGTCGTCTTACTGCCTCTTTAAACTTCGAGATCGATTTCAAAACGGGTCGAATAAAAGTTACTAAAAGTGCCACAATATGTGCAGCCTGCTTGCAAATACTCACGATCATCTCACTTACCTATCAGATGCTGTATACAGATTTCTTCACCACTGCAATAAGAAATGCTAAGGCTCTCACAGATTACGTGTTCCTGGTCACAGAATGCACTCGAATAATTTGTGTCCTCTTGGCCTTGGTCAACGGTTGGACTCAACGAAGGACTTTCATACGACTCTACAACTCGTTTCGCCGACTTTATCAACATAATCCTGAGACAGTTCAGCATTGCCGAAGAAACATCGTTAGCAAGTGCTTACGTGTCAAAATATCGGAGATACTTCAAGTTTTAGCTACCTTTTATACACTGCGAAATCGGCTTAGTATACCCCTATGTATACGCTATTGGAACTTATTTAACCTAATGACTGTATTGAATGGTATTACTACGCAATATTATGTGGCTTTGGCGAGTCTAAGAGGCCGCTACTTTCTTCTGAATAGGGATTTGAAAGCGCTTCTAACCGAAGCCCGATCCCTGAATACCAACCAAAGTGCAGAATTTAAGACCACTTGTTGCAGCCTTGCCGATCGATTGGAAAAATTAGCACGATCCCAATGTGAGGCACAAGGGCTCGTCGAACGGCTTGTAAGGACCTACCAAGTTCAGATGATGTGCATGATGACCATTTACTATTTAAACTTGGTGGGGAATCTATACATCGTACTCATCTTTAGTAAAAACTGGGTTCTGACAAAATTTTGGTTCAACGAAGAAGTTCTTTGTTTTACCTTCATCACAGTTTATTACTTTATTGATTGCTGGATAAGCCTGTACAACACTTTTTACCTTTTAGACGCTCACGAAGAGATGATCCAACTGCTAAGTGAACGGACTCTGTTCAAATCAGGATTGGATAAACGATTGGAGGCAGTTGTAAGTCAAAAAAACAAACAATAATTTTTATGTGATGTTTTTTCTTTCAGATAGATACCTTCACGCTGAACTTGGCCCAAAATCCACTAGAGATTCGATATCTTGGCTTACATAAAAATGATAGATTTTCATCATTTGCCGTACTTGACTCTTTTTTAAACCACATAATAATTCTAATCCAATATGGTATGGAAAATTTCTAAAAATAATAACCAACAAATGAAGTTAATAGTTGATTCTTGAATAAAATGTATTGATAGGTGTTATATAAGCTTTTTTCTACAAAATGGTTAGACATTAATTTGTTTTTAAATATTTTAGATAGCTCTTAACTAATTTTCCTTTCATTATAGTCATTATAGGCATCTTTTTAGTATGTAATATAAAATATTAAAATTGCAGAGAAACACAAACCCGGGAGTGGTATTTAATAGTCGGGGAGTCGTTTTTCTTCTTTTTTAATGCTATCAATCACTAAATAATTAGCCTTCCCATAGGTCTAGTCATATTGATTGAATTGCAAACGTGTTGTGCTCATCACCCAGTTAGAGTTGAGCAATATTCGAGTTTAGTAGTGAAACATGGTTGACTTCGTGAGGGTGATTCTTCGTTTAGCTTATTGGTATGGCCTTGCGGTGGGAGTGCTCAACTTTGATGTGAATTGGTCGACGGGAAAGGCCTGTGCCTCTCGACGAGTCACAATATATGCGGTGGCCCACAATTTGGTTCTAATGACTCTGATATGTTTGCGCAGTTTCACCAATAAGTCCCTTTTATCGGACCTAACCAAAGCTCGATACCTGCATGAGTACTTCTTTTTGCTAATGACGCTAGTACGGAATATGGCAGTTACGATCTCTCTGATCACCAGATGGTACAAGCGTTGCAGGATGCTTAGACTGTGGAATAAAATATTTCAAATGGTCGCCGAAAGACCCCAGGTGGTACATGAGTACCGTCGCAGCATTATTTTAAAATTTGTGATTGTTGTTCTATCGGACTCTTTCCACATCGTATTGGATCTAAGTGCTCAACGAAAAAAATATAATTTCGACTTAGCTGTCAATATATTTATATGGACCACATTTACCACCATATTCAATATGATCGTAGTTCAGTATTATTTTGCCGTACTGCAAATTCTTGGGCTCTATAAAATTCTTCAACAAGATCTTCGCATCTTAATTCGTGAAGCTGAAACAATTTGCTCAATTCGCAATCGACGAGGAGGAGTTTTTTCTATAAAATGTTGCTCCTTGGCAGATCAGCTCGACCATTTAGCTGAGAGATATTTTACTCTGCAGGATACAATAAGCGAAATGTCGGAGGTTTTTCAAATACAAAGCCTTAGCATGAGCTTGGTTTACTATTTATCCACCATGGGCTCGATATACTTTACTTTCTGTTCGATTTTGTACAACACAACTGGATTTGGTTCTTCATTTTGGGGACTTCTGCTGATTTTTTTGTCTACAACATTCTTCTATGCGGATAATTGGATATCCATAAATATTGGATTTCATATTCGCGATCAGCAAGATGAGTTAATCCGATTATTGGCGGATCGGACTTTATTCAGCCAGGAATTGGATAAACGACTGGAGACAGCTGTAGGTACAGGATACTTTCTTCACAATTGTTTGCTTCATTATATTTTCTTATTTTCAGTTCGAAAACTTTCAGCTGCAGTTGGTCCGGGACCCCTATGAATTCTATGTCCTGGGTCTTTTTAAAGTGGAACGAGCACAATTGATGGCCATGCTCAACTCAGTTATTACTCATTCCATTATTCTAGTGCAATGGGAACTACAAAACAATCGATCTGAATTATAAAAAACGTTTAGAAATAAAAGTTTTAAAAACAATATAATAGTGAGAGTATAACTAGTGATAGTGGTATCTGAATTGGGTAACATTGAGTTTAAGTTTAATATATACATAGATAATAATGACACTTTTCTGCTTTAACTCAGAATGTGTAGACCATCAATAAACTATTGAGTGCCAAGGCATATGTAATTGGGCCGTAGAGAAGCGATAATGGCCGTTTCATGCTCTGCCAGAGGAATGTGCCAGTTGGTAATGGAAATTGCCTGGCCGGGATTCCTTTGTAGTGCCAATTGCCAGGCATTTATAAACTTTGTCCTGTCTTCGGAAGCTGGGTAGCTGGGAGGATGGAGGCCGGGAAAGTGGGAAACTCCCGGCGACAGTGACAAATCCAGCGACAGCATCAATACTTTGCCGCAATTCGAGCAATATAAACGAGCTTCCATTCAATTTGCCCCTCGCCATCAGTTCGCTTAGCATAAGTCGCAATTTAATCCCGCACCGACATCCAACAACAGGCCACGACATTGCACCACCACCATCCGGAGAATCGGCATCGGAATCGCTATAGGAATGGGAATTGGCATCGGAATCGGAGGAGCAGGGTAGCAGGATACTGCCGGACGGACAGGCAGACAATCGAACGGATGGAACCGGAGACATTTTAGCATAATGCATTGCCACCGAGCTGCGACTCCTCCCCGTCGTTATCCTGGGACACTCAATCCGGCACTTGGATCGACTTGGCTGGGCTAACAATGCAACATTTTTTAACATGAATAGGGTTTATCGATTGTCAAAGCATCACACAGAAGTCTATTTATATGTAGGTACCTCTCTGAGCTATGGAATTACACATGTCATTGAGATAATAATATAAATTACTTAACCTGCGGAAATCTTTGATTTGATTTTATAAGGCCCAACAAGGGCTTCCTATTAGACAAACATTTTAATTCCATATTGATATCTTTGGTAGCTATAATACCTACATCTACAAAAAACGAAAGGTAATCGAGACCTAAATACTGTAGTAAAAATTAAACATATTACCCCAGTTAAGAGCTAAAAAAAGTAGAGGAGAGCACCATTATCAAGTAGAGTACCTCAAAACCTAATAAAACAAATACCTAAGTATGTATCTCTAGTGAGCATTGAAAAAACTATCACTACAAATATAACCAAAACCCAAAACCATAATGTCGCACATGTAAGTTCTTTATAATTTATTATTATTATTATGTTTGTAATTGCTTTTTTGCAGACTCGCATCAAAACTCGATTGCCAATGTGGTGGAAAAAGCAGTCCCATCGACTCGGTTATAGCACCGATTACTCAGGAACTGAGATGCATGCAAAAGGTTCTCAGAAAGGTGAGGCGTATACAGATGATAGAACTTATCCGAAGGGAAACTGAGATGTATGATGCTGAGTTGAGGGCTCTGAACCTCTCCATTTGGCATGAAGATGGTCATCGGTTCTGCAAATGACCTCTAAGGAAAGCACCTCAGTTCCTGATTTCCAATATTCAGTTAGCACTTTTCTCTTGCCGAAAAGTTTACCTTCTTCGAAAGAAGTTATATTTCCCAAGTTTAGTTAGCATCACTTTAAAATTAAGATTCATATACATTTCCTTACCAAGTGTTTTTCCAAAACTTAAAAATATTTGTATTTTAGATATCTTTATTGGAGAAATATATATAATGTCATAATAATGTCAAAAATGTAATAAAAATCTATAACCATGCTGATACCGTTCACTTTTATTTGGTCTTTAATCCTTATATCTTATCCCAGAAAGATATAAAATATACTTTTTTAGAAACACCCTAATCTAGGTTGCAGCAACAAGAAAAACTCTTTATGAGGACCCTGAGAAATCTGTTTCTCGCCACAGCTAACACAATTCCCGCCGAACCATAAGTTACTCGATATGCAAAGGGGCAAGGCGGCAGAGTGCCTCAAAAATTCATAGGATATCCCACAGCAGCGCAGCGAAGGCCCAACAAAAATGAGAATTAAATTGAATTTTCAAACGCCACGCACATAAATCCAAATGCCAGGGCAAACGAAAAATGCAGCCGAAAAGTAAAAATTTGTAGTTTACTTTTGCCGCAAGGCAGCAGCGGCAGCAAAATGTTGCTCAAACATATCATAAATATTTGATTTTCCTTCATTTTTCCAAGGTCTCTGCGAGTGCGACTCCGTCTCAGCGAAATCGTCTGGCTGGGAAAATGGGATGGCGAAAATTGATAAGTTTTCAATGATTACGCCACGAGATTGATATAATTTTCGCGCAATTTCGCAGCAATTGGCAAATGTCACGCACGTGATAGTGCCATTTCGTATTGCTGAAGATTAGGTTAGGAAAAATAAATGCAATCTAAAAAACGAACTTGGAAAGGTTACGTTATCTGCATCTATGTATATCAAGTTATCATTTGGCTTTTAAGGAATAGATTCCCTAGCACATATCATTTGCATCACATCAGAAAACGAATCTAAACTAGTAGAACCTATTTGTTCCTATATATGTTATTTGTATTAATAGATTTAAAACACAAATTATGGTAAACTATTGGGACCTTATTGTTCCCCAAGAACCTGCTTTATTTGTTAGAATATTACGGTAAACTTGTATAAAATATTAAGAAAACAATCCCTTTAAAGACAAATTGAAAAGTAGAACTCAAAAAGTAAAAATTTATAACCAAAAGAACAAATACTTTTTCAAAAAAGATTCAGTGTTGTAATTTATACCCAAACGTTATACCTAGTTATCGCAACTTTTTAACACTAATATCGATAAAAGCATCGATTATTTTTTAACCCAACTAATTCCTGTTCAGCTTGAATTATCATCTCCAGAATTATTTCTTTTTGCTTGTCATTCTTTTCCGAATCAGACGTCCCAACAACTAACTTATTTAATTTTTTGAGAAATCTACTGAAGAAAGATGACCAAGGGAACTACGAGCTTTGGCAAGCGCCACAACAAGACGCACACCATCTGTCGGCGGTGCGGGACTTCTTCGTATCATCTCCAGAAGTCGAGGTGCTCCCAGTGCGGCTATCCCTCGGCCAAATCGCGGTCCTTCCACTGGTCACGAAAGGCCAAGGGTCGCAAGGCCCAGGGAACTGGAAGGATGCGGTACCTGAAGAAGTTGCGGCGTCGTTTCCGCAACGGTTTACGTGAGGGAGGCTCCTCGATGAAGAAAACCAACTAAGTCCAGAAAGGGTCCCGAATAAGTCTAATAAAAGCCCAAGTGAGGCTATGGATTCCCTTTAGTTTTCTCAAGTGTTTTAATTATGCTTTGGGGCTAGTTTATAATCCTACTGGTATTATAATGGGTCCACACGTAAGTACCCCCAACGTGCTTTAAAATTTATGTTTTTCCGTGTACTTTGCATGTTGGGTGCTTTCGTATTTTGTGTTTGGTTTTTGGCTAGCGAGAAATGCATTTTATGAATTTTTTATGGCCCTTAATGTACACACACACCTGCCACCCGGATTGCATATGTGTATGTGCTTAGAGAAGGACATAAAAAGAAAGAGACAGGCGAAGCAACACCTTTTTATGTGTACGCCATATAGCACATAAAGCTCGTGGCGAAAATCTGCTCACGCCCCAGGACAGTATTTCATCCCGACCTGGCCTAATCCGTCGCCATTTGGATTTTGGCCGCAGAGTCTTGGCATGAAATATTCCCCGGGATTGCCGGGGAAAAACTTTTCCACTTGATTTATCTCTCTGGCACAGCGTCGAAACTTAAAGCAGTCGAGTTGGGAGAGCGTGCAACAATTGCTCACGCCCACTCATTAATTTTCGGCCGCACTGGGTGGCATATGGCATGTTGATAATACGGATACATTGTTATGCAACGACTGCATTTTTAAAATAATGATGTCTGCCTTTATTAATGCTACAGAAATGTAATGCAGATCTGGAGTGCAGTTCGAGTGGATTGACGGCCAGCAGAAATACGAGGAGTTAAGAACGGAATGGGAAATTTCTCGCTAGCTTCAAGGCAAAAAGTTCGATATTTTAAAGAGTAGTTCCTATAAATGTATACTCAAAATTAAAACAAACAAACTCTTTTAAAAACCTAAGTTGTCTCAATATTTTAAACTGGAGGATCTCTGAAAAGATACTTTCAATTCCAGCAGATACCTTTAAATAACATCGTTTCCTATAACATGTTGTGATCATATGTTCAATGTTCCTCTCCGTAGCTCTTAGAGTTCAAAACCTACGTTTATCGCCTGCAAAATGTTCAGTTCTTTAAAAAAATAGATAGTTAAAATAAGATTGTCTTCCTCTCTATTGCACTAACTCTATAAGACCTACGTTGATCCCCAAAAAAAAGGTCTATTTTACATTATGATAAATATTTTGTTATTCAAGGAATTACAATAGGTGTCGAGAAAAAAAAAGTTCCTATAATAATTGAAAACTAATTAAAATATTTTAAAAATCAGTTTGCTCTATAATATTAAACAAAATCATATCGGTATTATTTTTGTTTCAGAGCTTCTTAGAAACTTTGATTTGAATCGTGTGCTTTTTTTAGAGTAGCCTTAAACAATTTGTTTGACAGAAATGCCATTTTGTTGATTGAACATTTCCAATTGAAATTTTTCGCTGAATCGTTGTTTTCTTCATTATTTTTTCGTGTTGCTGTATAGTTGACATTCAGTGAGCTGCAAAGTCAGCAGCATTTAAATTTCGCTCACGATTGTCTCCGGATGAGCAGTGCACCGAGTGAGCAGAAGGAACCGACCGGCGGAGCAAACAGTCGAGGAAGGAATAACGCGGATTGAAAATCAACGGATACGGAACGGATGCACGGGTACTCAGTGCTCAGTGCTCAGGTCCCCTTCTCCTTTTCGAGCCCGATGTATCTGTCAGTCGGTAGGAAAAACTGTCACTGCAATCAGATGCAATTAGAGCTTCCGATGCCCGGAAAATCGCGAAAAATGGGTGGAGGAGACGGCCTTTGCAAGAGAAATGGAATGGAAATTGAAAACACAAAAAGGGAAAGTGATTGGGCCAATGCGCATCTTCATCGAAAATGAAAAACTCGTTAGCTAAGAGACTTACTTTCTTGGCAATGACTACTAGGAGATTTAAAAGTGGGCGTAGTAAAACAACTGATTGCACAACTTTAATTACATTTCATTTTACTAGGTGGGTATTATGTTTATCTTGTTAAATCGCATATGAATATATAAATATATATTACTAAAAATGGCAGATACAACAAAGTCAATCCTATTCGATCTTAATATTTTTGAAGAACCTTTAGTGATATAATTTTAAGATATTTAGTTAAAATATATATCTTTTTTATATTTTCTTATTCTGTTATTCTAATACACTATGTTATTAAACAACATCTGTGTTTGGGAGATCCTAAAATGTATATTCAACAAATTGCACTAAAATAGAGGCTATCCTTTTTTAAGCAATGCATTTTAATCATAAATTTTCATAAATACGCTGGACACGGAACCCCACATGATGGAGCGGGATTGGGATGACCACATTGGGTTGGGCAAAACCGCATTTTGTGGTATTTGTCGTGTTCTGCGGTTGGATTTGTTGATGCTGTTGCTGATGGTCTTGCGTGCCGACATGGCATCAAAAATTCCAATTCCCGTGAATAAATACGATCTCTGGACCCGGGGGCAGCCTGACTGGCACATCGTGTTGCCAAAAACATTAATTAAAATTCATTAGAGTGCGGATTGTAGAAACAATCGCCAGTCCATATGCGGCCCTGTAATCCCTTTCAATCTCAGCTGGCTAAATATTAAATGGACCAGCTTGGACTCGAGACTCGACTTCGTTGCGGCTCAGCAAAATTCAAATGTTTGGCATAAAAAATGCATAAATTATGCAAACCATTTAAGAGGCAAACAAGAAGGAAAAATCGAAACTGCCTCAACATTTTTGCCTTGGTCAAGGCTTTGAAAAATTGATGTTGGCCAGCCCGAAAATTCCGACGACTGACCCAACTCGCAGAGTGAGTCTGTTGGTGTGTGTCTAAATGGACATCTGAGCAGAAAGGAGGCCCAAAGTCTCTCAACATGGCTTTTAAAACTGCTGCCGCCCACTTGGTCCCCTTTGCTGGGTAGTATAAAATATTCATGCGTTTTATATGTGAAAACGAAAGGGCGGCGAAAGTGGGATGGGTAAGTTGCCAGGCCTATGTCACAATAAAAGTCAAGAAGCTTTTGCGTGCCGTAATTAATGTAAATCCTCCTTTTACTTTCCCGTGGCATACCCCTTTAACGAACGAGTGCAATTGGGTTGGGAATAACTTCGTATACCGTTTGTTTGTGCTAAAAACTCCAATAATATCATTAAGTAAAAAGGAAAAAGGGAAGATATATTTTGAAATATACTTATATATAAATATATTTTCATCCTTGACCATCTTAAAAACGTAAATAAATAATATTTATTAAATATACTGGGTACTTCACCTGCCTTTACTTAAAATAGTTCCATGGATCTACTCCATTGACAGCTGCAAGCCGCCAGAGGGCGCCTGTCAACCCTCCTCCCAATATATGTATGCACCGTGTAATTGATTTTCTGTTTACGCATTGCCCCAAAATCGGGAACAGATGGAAGTGGGCGTGGTCGGGCAGAAAAGTTGCCGAGCCTGATGCTTCCGGTTACTTCTTGTTATTATATTTCATTTGCCGTCAACTTTGTTGTGATGCCTGATTCCTGCACATCGTGAATAACCCAACAACAAGTGAAAGATTAAAGCCAAGGCTAGGATATTTGATATCCTGTGAATAGTTTTATGATTCAGGTATATCCTTGATTGGCAAATAAATGAGCCTAAATTTAAAATAAAACAAATATAACTAGTAAGCCTAACATATTTATTAAAGGTTTCAACATAAGCCTCATTATTCTTGAAATTACTTAGTAAGGTGCCTAAAAATATGCAACAATATATTCGGAGTCCGATGACTTTTTCCACTGCATAATTTGGATACTTTAAAAAGTGATTACATACCCATAAATATATCATAACTTATAAGAATTGTATATATCCCAAAAATATGATTTAATAAAGTAAGTACAGGCAGAAAGCTTGTTTTTAATATGTAGGAATGCCTTAAGAGTGACTTGACTTGATCTGAGCTATACCATTTGTTCCATTCTGGTACATCCTGCTTCCCAGCTTTCTAATGGGTATGCCCAAAGTTTCCATTGCAACTTTTGCGATATTCCTGCTGGACGGAGGGGAGGAGCAGAGAACCCCTTCTCAGGGGCAGGAAGTCCGGCGGGGCGCAGGGCACATGCCAACACTTGTTTTCTGTTAAGTGATTTAGGCAAAACTTTTGCACCCTCCCCTCGCTGCGATTTTTCCGTGCCATTCGTGTTTGGCATTTTGGGCTTAGAAGTAGACGAGGGGCGCCTGATGGGTTCCTGCGATGTTGCAGGTCCTTCTGTTGCGGTTCCGCCTCGGTTCGGTAATATTCTGAAACATCGGAAATGTTTTACAAAACTTTCGCGAAAAGCTACGCGCCAGCGACAGCAAATTGAACGAAAACCGTTTAAATGCTTGCCACATAATCGCCGTCAAGTGAAATTCATTTTCTTGACAAACAACATGAACTTCAAAGGAACTTGGCCGAATCCCCGCCTTTGAGTTGCACAGAGGAAATTGAAATTGTTAAATGTGTGCGGGAACTAGAAGAACTGCCAAACTGGCTTAGCGACTGTCAGGGAAGATGTATTGCTCATCTCGTGGTCCGAAATATTTGAGTGATGATTTCCTGTGAATGAAAAGAAATCGATTGTTTATGCATTTACATAAAACCAAGGTTAGGGCCAAGGTATGTAGTAAAACAATTTAGTATCTGCGATAGACCAAAATATTTTGTACAAAGATATCAAAAACGAGTAAATCCGTTATTATTAACCATATATGAGGATACAAGTAACAAAAATATGTTAAATAATAAAACTATAACTTAATTCTAGAGGAATGCTCAGAATCATAAAGCTTTTCTTAAGAGAATCAATGTATTATCATGCATAGAACGATGTAGCATTAAACATTTATTACTACATTTTGAGGTGGTACCTTACCCTTTGTACAAACAACTTTATTTTGCAAACACAGCCATTTTCAGCCAGTGAAAACCCATCCAAAGCCATTATGTGTTCAACGCATTCTTTTGACATCGTAATCGACATTACCTGCGCATATTTATCCCGTTAGGACC